ATATACACATACATACACACACATCGATCAGGCATAACATTATGACCACAGAAAGGTAAAGTGAATAACACTGATTATCTCTTCATTCTTCATCACGGCACCTGTTAGTGGGTGGGATATATTATGCAGGACTTGTCCCCCCTTTTGAGCTAATCACTTTTCCTTTACAACAGTATGAGCAATAGTAAGCATAAATCAGGATTACAGACCAGGCCTTACCTCTGTGATCTACAGATGGTTTGGAGGAGCTGAGGATTTTAGGAATAGATATTCCCATGTCCAGCTCGGTGAGGGTCAGTTCATTCATGAAGTATGGCAGCTGTAATAATCAAGACAATAAGTTACTCTTTTAATCAAATACGCAGTCAGACAGTCTGGTGTGAGATGTAAACCTAACCGTTCTCACCCTGATCTTACTCAGCTTTTTCTGGATCTTTTTGGACACCACATCTGCCCAGTATTTCTCTCCAAGAAAGTCCCAGACAATGCGACCTAAAAGTGCATTGACCCAGGCTTCAGACTCAGATTCCTGCTCACGACTGGCTGGAAACTGTGACAAACATACATTAAACTCAATTAGAATACTGCATAAAACATTTGCGAGAATAAAGCACCGTTTCCATCCCATGTACTCAAGAGAACAAAATAGTCACTTCCAGGGAAACTGCCACAAGTATCAATAATAAAAAACAAAGCTGCTGCAACTGGGGAAGCCTCTGACTCATGACCTCAGAGCGACACAAACGAAACACAATAACAAAAACTGTCATGTTAACTTGTGTTCGTATGCCTGATGTTCGAGAACGTGATCGTTTGAAACAGTTCTGGGAGGTAATTATACCAAATAATTTTGATGATGGATTTTGGCATTTCAGAATGATTAAAACAACATGTGTGTGATGAGTTTGGTGTTCTAGTTATTCTATTTATCCAGTCACATCATCTGTTGAGGCAAAGTCTTTTGTTGCACCAAATTTATTCAGTAAATGTTTCCATTGTTGTTTATGCATGTTGTCTTATTGGATTAAAAATGTATCTGGCTCAACTGAGTGTACAAGCTTTTATGCACATTTTAAGACTTTATGCGCATATTGCTATCTCCATCCAGCATTTTTAATGCAATATCTCAAAATTCACATAAAAAGTGGATGGAAACATGGGTATTGTCAAAGTCTGGATGTACAAGTCTCAGTATTTGATAGGTAGAGTTGGTTTAACTGATGTCTGGTTTTTAAATGAAAGATTACGGTTTTTCGGAAAATGGACATTGTGAAATAATGTGGACCTTTTTCACGATTCCCGGGCTGCTTCCAGCACTCTGATCAGGGCTTGTGGTGGGGCTGCCTGCAGACTGGCTGACATATTTGGCCATGTAGACGTTGTATTCCAGAACTTTCTGTTTGAGACTGGCATCAAGGTCTTTTTGTCTGGGATGAGACTGGAACATTTCATCCAGACTGCCACGACTGCTGCTATGAGACAGACAGCCTGCCGAGAGAGATAATACGACTTGATTACGTAATTAATTCATTTGGAAAAAAAACAAAACTATGGATAAAAGTATAGTCCGTTCAATGGTTCTCATTCATGAAAAAAATACTTTCTATGGACCCTTTTCACAGACTGTGACGATGCATTTCCAGTCATTTACACTGTAAATCTATTTTATTTTTTATGATTTTTTTTATTATTAGGTGTGTGAA